GCCGTGGCTGTCCCGCTGCGGGCATGCTCCAAGGCTTTGCTCCTGTCCCCCTGGTCTGCTGGGGGGGTCCAGCAAAGCCCGTGTTTCTTAAACTGTGGGTCCCGACCCCCCAGGGGTCGCGAGCAACTTAGAGGGGTGGTCACGGTATCACAAAGTTTGAGAATCCCTGGCTTAAGCACAATACTTCATACACTCCAATAACAATCTAGGATTTGATTCACTGAACATTTTAAAAAGTTGAACAGTACCTTTTCCATTTTTCAGAATTGCCAGCAATCCAAAACATCTGTTATTCACACAGGACTAATTAGGGCACCCTCTTGAGTTAATCTTTGCATTGCTCCTCATTGAACTCCCCTCTCAGCAGGTGAATTGCTCATTACACAATCTAAAAGCTCTCACTTAGATAACTATTTATGATATCCAAAACATTTTACTCCTGTACCTGAAAAAATTTCTCCCCATTCAACCATAATGAAGTATCTGAGTTCGTTCCTAATCAAATCAACTCTTCCTACCATTTGTTTAATGAAAGCATCTTTTGTCATCTGCTAATCAAGTGGGGGAAGTATTTGAATTCTGCATCAACAGTCCCTATGTAGGGAATACTCTTGATGCATGGTTAAACTTTCATTAACACTAGTGAGTGTTATTAGAGTTGTAAGCATCCGGAAAACCTCCCCCACTCGAATGCATTTTGAAATTATAGGGGATTTCTTAAGCCCAATAAAGCAAATAACTGGAGTGCCCATAGATAAGTGTTATTGCAGGTTTGTACTGCCACAACATCTGCATAAACCATTATAAAATCTGGTATACAAAGCATTTTAACATCAGTAACATGCACTTCAAACATGTTAGTGAAATGCATAAGCATAGTTTGACTTCTATATTGGGAGGGGGTAAGAGGCATTATTAATAAGTGTAGGTCTAGGTCTAGCTTCTGGATTTACCAATTGTTAGTGGTGCTTAAATTACAGTGTCCCTGAGATCACATACGCAGTTTATATTAGTTGCCATTAATTTTGTTTCAATTTACTTGGTGTGTTTACCACTTAAAAATCAGTATTAGAATACAAAAGCATTCTTGAACAAACAGAACTAAGCACTTTTATGCAATTATGAATCATGGCTCCCCGGTTTTAGAGAAACAGAAACGTTCAATGCACACAAGCAAATACATGGCTAAAGCCTTTTCCCATCTGCCCGAGCACATTCCACTCACATGTAATCTTCCCCGTTCATCTAGGCCTGACACCATCAGTTCTGTATGTTGTACAGACCCTTGTGAAAAAACTCTGTTCTTCAGTGTTACCAGTGCTGATTATAATGTCTCAATTCATGTGTTTTGGGGGCAACTCTGATTTTATAGGCTAGTAAAATTGAAATGACCACAACCCAAGCTGAGGCTCTTCTGTGAGGATCATAAGCGTCTCTATTGCCCTCCCCTTATGTAGCTCATTTTGGGAAACGGATTTTGATTTCCAGGCCCCCCTACCGTCCCACCCCAAACACACAATGCCTCACTCCACAGGGAGAAAGCAGGGCCAAATAAAAGGGAGAAAAAAAATCTGGCATTACCATGCATAATTTCTGCGACATATCCAGTTTGGGGAAGCAATGTCCCTCCATACTCACCCTAATCTCTACCCACTGAAATGATTGTGTCTGCTACTCCCCATCCTGAAAACCCTAAGTAACCAGCAGATAACAGAGAAAACAAGATTCATAGCTACATTAAGTTAGCATAGCTACTACCAAAAGCCCAGTGCAGGTCACTGGAAATATGCCTCTGCATCAGTTTAAGACAATGTAGGGCTGAAAGTCAGCATTACCCTTAGATTTCTGATTTAACACTGTCCAGTGTCTCCCTTGTGATATCTACCTTCATGGGCAGTCTTCTATCAGCTTCCCATGATACAGCTCTATATATTCTTAAATTAGCTTGTACAGAATTTTTTTTTTTGTTATTTATTATGTCCTTAAGTCAGAATTTAAGAGTAAAGCTACAAGATTCTACTATCTATCCCTTAGATAGCCTATTGACCAAGAGTAATGAATACACTAAAGCCCACTTTCTTTTTAAACGCTATTTAACAGATATCAAGAATGCATTTACTCTACAAGGCCCAAAACGTAAATGGATTTGTTCTACCGAGGATGAAGATGACAAATTTACATGGCTATCCACATTGCAAAGTGCAATCAACTGTAGCATGAAGAACTGAGATTCACCTTAGTATTTCAGATGCCTAACTTGTAAGCATATGCTAATTATCTGAACACAGACCTATTTTGTGCAGTTTCCTACTCTGAGGAGCTTTTCCTCAAATTTAGCATAATTACCAAGAAATTAGCATTCCTTTCAATCGTAGTTCATAGAATACCATCATGCCTAACTCAGACTGAAGATTAGTTATAGAAATGTAGCCGTGTTAGTCTGGTGTAGCTGAAACAAAAAACAGAACTATGTAGAACTTTAAAGACTAACAAGATGGTTATTAGGTGATGAGCTTTCGTGGGCCAGACCCACTTCCTCAGATCAAATAGCGGAAGAAAATTATCACAACCATATATACCAAAGGATACAATTAAAAAAAGGAACATATATGAAAAGGACAAATCAAATTTCATTTGTCCTTTTCATGTGTGTTCCTTTTTTTAAAATTGTATCCTTAGGTATATATGGTTGTGACAATTTTCTTCCGCTATTTGATCTGAGGAAGTGGGTCTGGCCCACGAAAGCTCATCACCTAATAACCATCTTGTTAGTCTTTAAAGTGCTACATAATCCTGTTTTTTGTTTCAGACTGAAGAAATTAACAGTAGAAGCACACAGCCAACCTATGAGATCGATTTAAAAAAATTCACACTATTCCAATCCATTTTGCCTTCAGAACTGAAGGCAAAATTCCCACAATGTGACTTGGAAGGCCAAGAAAAACAAATCGTATATGAAATCTGAAGAAAACCACCAGTTCATCAAGAATCTGTTATAGAAGGAAGATTTTCTCTACTGATTGCACAAGGAAACAAGACTACAGCTTACTTATGGGTAACAAGACATTTAAAGTAGTAGAGTCTCCGTATATCAGTGTTTCTTAAACTGCGGTCGGAGGTGTGCCATGGAGAACAGAATCAAAATGGCCACCCCTAAAGGAGCAGCCCAATAACCCCCCCCCCCCCGACCCTTTTTCCTCCTGACCTTTTTTTCCCCCTTTTGCTTAAAGAATCCTTGGCATCTCCCATAAAAAAAAGTTTGGTGTCCCTCGGTCTTAAAAAGTTGAAGAAACACTGCTGTATATACGACTACTACCACTACTACCTTTTATTATAGTTTCAAAGGGAATTAAGGAGATAGAAACATCTTTTTGCAATTTTCATCAAAGACCAAAATCCTCCATTTTCACATAATTCTTCAGAGGGAAATTTTTACTAAAAATTAGTACAGCAATATGAATAATAAAATATACAGGCAATTTGCTCTGGGGAATAAAAGTTATTAACCATTACAAAAAGACATAGCTCTTGGAAGCTTAACTGTGTAGCTGAAACTGAAGTTATCCAACAAGGATTGTTGTAAGATGGTATTTAAATAGGGCTGTTGAGTCAGTTAGGCTAATGTGATTAACTCAAAAATCAATTGATAAAAAGTAATTGTGATTAATCACAGTTTTAATCTCACTGTTAAATAGAATACCGATTTAAATTTATAATTTTGGATTTTTTATATTTTCAAATATATTGATTTTGATTACACAGAATACAGTGCTTTATATTTTTGATAGTATTTTACAATTCACTATAAATACTGTAGTGCAATCTCTTTCCTGGAAGTGCAACTTACAAATGTAGATTTTATTCCATACCTGCGTTCAATAAAACAAAACTTTAGAACATACAAGTCCCCTCGGTCCTACTTCTTATTCAGCCAATTGTTCCAAGTTTGTTTACGTTTGCAGGAGATAATGCTGCCCATTTCTTATTTACAGTGTCACCTGAACATGAGAATAGGTTTTTGCAAGGGGCTGTTGTAGTAAGTTGAGGGCTGGTAACATGGAGTCAGCAGGCCTGAATAAAGGCCTGCAACATGAAAACAGCAACAGGCCTGGAATCTAGTGAGCAAGACTTTGGTTCAGTAACACAGGAGCCAAGAAAGAGGCTCTATTGATAATTGTGTAAGTTAGGTCGAGCATGGAAGGACATAAGGAGACACTGGATACATATTATAAGCCAAAGGGGAGTAGTGGAACATCTTCATAAGAAACGTTTTGGTACCAAAGACGCCCCAAAAACTAATGTACATATCAACCTAGTTTCAGGATCAGGTCGAAGTTTAAGTATGAAGGATAGTAAGCAAACCCCCCTTCCATAAGGTGAGGGATGGTAACTAGGCAACAGAGGATGGCAACCTGGTATGTAAAGAAGTGATGCAAGTTGTCTGTACATGTCTATAAAAGGGCACTGCAAATGGTGGGCACCAATCAACAGGAGGATGGGGGAAGAGTGCATTAGGCACCTGAAACAGCAGGTATAATTGATGAGATTTACAGAATGCACAGTGGCTTAACATTGGCTAACCACTGTTAGTATCTGTTATTTGGCAATATGTCTGCTGTGTGTTGGTACATTGTCAACGCTTGCAGAATGCACAATGGCTTGGTGTTAAGACTTTCTGCTGACAACTGTTAATGCATAGCATTTGGCAATAAACCTGCTCGACTGGTTTCATCCTTGCCTGAATCTGTCATTTACGGGGGCTCTCAGATCCACTATGTTGGCCCAAGTCACTGGGTTTAACGCTTTAGATAAAGGGAGCAAAGGCACACATGCAGCCGAAAGTATATCACCAACGGAGTAGAGGACTTGTCAGGAACGCACTGGGACAACCCCGAAAACCCTGACTGACAACAGCTGGGATCGCAAAATACTTACATGCAACATGTATGAAACACCGAAAATATTAAAATAAATGTTATTTTAATTATTTAACAGCATTATTAAGAAAGACATTTTTTGTATTAATGCTATAGCCCCATATTTAAGTACCACTGCAACAAAAATAACTTACCTTTTTTAGAACTTACATGCATGAATGGCTCCTGATTTTTCTCCTAGAATAACTAGCTGCTGTTGGTCTGGTCTTATATTTTTAGGAATCTTGACAGTCTTTTTAAAGTAGCACTGCCTTTCAAAATAGTTTTTCCACATATTCACTTTTATTGTGCAAATATAGACACGGGAGAAGACAAAAAATGAAGGCTGAGGGGAAAAAAGCAACCGTTCCAGCACCAGGAATGGTGTCAGAAAAGAGGCAAATTAGTAATGGGAAAAGATGTGGAAAAAAGTATGATGGAAGAGAAAAATCAGCCAAGGGGCTGCCCCAGCCTCCACTGGTTTAACATTCACATCTCTAGTTTATAACAAGCTACTACAGATGACCAGAAGAAACAAATATATGAGAGAGAGAGAGAGAGAGAGAGAGAGAGAGAGAAGAAATGAGGGAGCATTAAAATAATTATGTTTTGCATCCCACTCTGACTTCTTCCGGAAGTCAACACAATTCTCTTTTATTGAAAGCAAACCATGAGCATATTATTTTTTTTAGAGGCGTTAACTCTTGATGACTATCACCCAATCTGATGTTTTTAAAGACAAGAGGTTATAACAGAAGATGAGAAATTAAACTGGCTCTTTAGATGGCAAAGAATTGTTTCTGAATTAAAATCTGGTTTAAAGTTCACATAATGAGCATTCAAAATAAAAAAAATCTTTAAAAACAGTTTTCCTATTTCTCTTGACTAGATATAAAAAAGTCATTTACTGCAATTAAGCTCTTGACATATTTGATGTACAATTTGTTGATTCGATTGCAAGGATCTGAGACATTGAAATCCATACATGCATTTAAAATTTGAGTGTAAATGATTTTTTAAAAATATTTTAATAAAACAAAACTGCATGGACAATTACATGCAATTTATTAAAAAAACGCCACGATCATTGTACCAGAAACCCAGTTGGAAAGCTAGCATTTGGTCTTTCAGTTTTATCTAGCTACTTGGTAATTAGTTACCGGTACAATGGTGATGTGATCTTGGTCCATAAAGTTTTCTGGGTTGCCTTGCATTTCTCCTTTTTGCTTACACCTGATTTTACTAAATTTAGTCTGGCACTTAATCTACTAATTGACAACATATTGTGCAAGTGCGATGTCTACATAGGCAGTTTATTATTTAAACAAGTTATTTCATTATAGAAATCTCAATCCACCTACATGCAAATAAAGATTCACTTTTTTCATTTAATAGTGTGAAATTCATGGCTTCTATGTTAAGGAATGGTAGTTTGCACATGTACAGAAAAAAAACCCAGTAGTTTTTCCATGACATTTACAAAAATGTAATTCGAACAGGTCTTAAAGTAGCAAAATTCCACCACAGTATTTATGACAGCTTCAAATATCCTGTCAATGTACAGTAAGTTGAAAGGGAAACCATCTATTTCACCGTGCAAACAGAAGTGCAAGCAGTAAACAGCATAAACAGTGGAAAATGTTTTAAAATGTTTTTCAATAATCAATTGGTAATACAGTTAAGAGACTAATTTAAAATCAAACAGTGAAACAGGGAAGGTAAAGGACTTCTAATCTGTGATTCATTTAGTTTGATTACATTCAGAAGGCACTTTTAAAGAAATCTAGTTCATGTAATTTATTAGCTACCTTCTTTCACCCATGAGTTATACTGTAGCAGCATTATGCTTTTATACAAAACACCTAGTTTTATTTATATATCCAATATACTATCCGTTCTACCATTTACTTAGCACTTTTCATCAACAGATCTCAGAGCTTTACAAGAAGTCAGCATCATCCCCATTTAGCCAACAGGGAAGCTAAGGCACAAAGAGGCAACATGACTTGCCAAAGATCTTCCAGTAGGTCAGTGACACACCCAGGAATAGAACCCAATCAGAGTCCCAGTCAGTGCTTTAGGCACTGCAATGCACTGCATCCTAAATGCATGCACTCTAGAAACGAGGGACAATATATGTGGCTATATTAAACATAAATTAGGGTGTCTCACTTCAAGAAAATCCCAAATGGCTAATTGCTGAAAACTAGAAGAATGAAGAGATCTATTCCTCCTTGTGACTGCCATCAGAAAGACTTAAAAATATTCCTGCAGACCTGTAAGAAATCCTGATTGGTGAGTGTTACAAATTCCAGTTAAAGATGAATCAACAAAATTAAAATATTGTGCTGTTTTATTGGTGTAAAAATCACACAATTGCTAGTTCTGATTCTGCTGAGATACATCCATGCAGTTTAACATCTATGATCCCACAGCCAGAAGAAGCCATTAAATAGAATATCTGCTGTTAGTCAGCAATTAATGCAAATTTACATATGAGATCAAAAGGTGTGTATCATACAATATACAACAAGTCCTAATACAGTACATCAACCCGAA